GTTTGTTGAAAAAGAACGAGAGGTGGTTATGGAACGCTGAATGTCAGCGCTCCTTTGATGGTATCAAGCAGAGCTTAATACAATCCCCAGTCCTAGCAATAGCCGATCAGGACAGGCCATTTCATGTGATCTGTGATGCCAGCGATTTCGCAATCGACTGTGCATTAATGCAGTACGATCTTGAAGGCGTTGAACGTGTCGTCTGCTATCAGTCGCGTCAGCTGCAACCAGCTGAGCGGAACTATCCAGTGCATGACAAGGAACTCCTTGCCATGAAGTATGCACTCGCGAAGTTCAGAGTCTATCTATTAGGAGATAGACCCTTCGTTGTTTACACTGACCATGCGTCATTACGCACGGCAGTAAACAGCCCGCACCTTTCACAACGAATGGCGCGGTGGTTGTCATTCTTTGCAGAATACAACTTTACGGTCGAGTACAAACCAGGACGACTTAATGTCGTCGCTGATGCACTCTCACGTCGGCCCGACTTTGAACCAGTCGTGAAACCCAACAGTGAGACAGCCACTGTTGCGGTTATGACGTCACCCAGTACCATCTTCAACGTAATATGATGATGTGAGGCGGGCGTATGCCCAAGATGGTGAGATTGTGAAGTTGTTGACACATCTCTCACAGCCATCTCGTGAATCGTTGAAACGATTGTCGTCTGCGTATCGATCTGCATCAGATCGATGCACTACTCGCAACAGTTTACTGCGTTATACAGCCGTTACTGGTGACACACCACGTGCTGTCATCCTAGATGATACTGATCTGCGTTTGAGGATCATGTTCGAGCATCACGATGCTCCTATAGGAGGATATCGTGGCCGGGAGAAAACGTATCTCACGGTGAGTCGAGACTTTTACTGTCCCTGCCAGTATCAGTTTGTGCGCAAGTATGTTCGCGCATGCGAAGTCTGTCAACGAGTGAAGTCAAGTCCTTCACTGCGTGCACCTTTACAGCCTCTACCGGTTCCGGCTGAGTGCTGGGAATCCATCTCAATGGATTTCGTCTTCGGGTTACCCAAAGACGCACGCGGGAATACGGGTATTCTCGTATTTGTTGACAGATTCAGTAAAATGGTACACCTAGTGGCTGTACCAGAGTCAATCACGGCAAGTGGCTGTGCTTGTGTCTTTATCGACACCATCTTCTGACTTCATGGGTTGCCCCGTGAACTCGTATAAAACAGAGATCCACTATTCACTGCTGATTTTTGGTGTTCCGTGTTCAAATCACTCGGAAAGCGCTTGAAGATGTCGACATCTGATCATCCAGAGTCAGATGATCAGACGGAACGCGCCAATCGTGTCCTCGAAGAGATACTTCGAGGATACGTACACTCCTTTTAGAGTTGGGGGTGCGTTCTTGCCAATGGTAGAGTTTGCCATTGACAACTCGTTGCATGCGTCCACGACACATACACCGTTTTACGTGAATGGCTTGCGCCATCCGCGTGTACCCACCTTACTAGAGTGTAACTCTGGTTTAAGGGGGAGGGACTCGCGCGAGCAAAAACCGATTTGGTTCACGCTCATCACGCTCTGACGAAGAGGTCGTTGCGTGTGATGTCGATATCGACAACATCGATATCGAAGAAGATGATGCCAGTGAGAGCGCGGAAGCCCTCACTGAAGAAACGATTGATGTTTCTGCAGTGCACTCACAGCGCACTGAAGCTAACGAGTCATCAGATGAGTTCATACTGTCTCGTGAAACGGTAGTCCGTTTTGTGCAAGATTCCATCGCCGAAGCGGTGGATAAGCAAAAGCAAAACGCAGACAAGATTGGAAGGGCAAACACTCTTTTACTTAATAGTGACTTAATCCTACTGTCTACGGTTAACCTACCAAAGCATGTAGTGACTAACTTGGGTAGTAGTAAACTACTACCCAAGTACATCGGCCCATTTCGTGTATTGCACCGCCTAGGCAATGCATACACGATCGAGTTGCCACGTAAGATGCGAACGCATCCCACGTTTTACGTTGGTCGGCTTAAGCCGTACCATCAGTACGCTGCTTCTTCCGATGAAGAACGCCCTTGCGCTCAAGCATCTCACAGAGAGCCTTGTGCTCCCGATGGTGGGCATCGACAAGGGTCTGAAGAGCAGTTATCTCAGCCCGAGACCGGTCAACAATCCCACGAGCTACCCTTAGCTCGTCACGCAGAGATGTCAAAGCTCTCTCGTTCTCAAGCTGAGCAAAGGCAAACTCAGCTCGATGCTTCAAGACAGTGTCCGCCAGTTGAAGACGCCTGTCCCGCTCATGTTCGAGGTCGCCGCGTAACGCAAGAGTTACGCGATTAAAGAAGCTCTCGGGAACACACGCTCCCCCACGATAGTGTGGAGAGCGTCTTTCCTCCTCCTCCACCTCCATTAGAGGACTCTCGCGGTGGCCAGCGCTATCTGGTTGAGCAGCTGTTGAACCACCGCGATGTGAACGGACGTCGGACGAGTTACCTCTTCCGGTGGCGCGGCTATCCCCCGTCCTGGGATACTTGGGAGCCCCGCCCCCGACTGATGATCGACGTACTGGGTCTGGTCGAGCAGTGCGACGCGGCACATCCTGTGCCGCAGAAGGAACGCTGGAGAAAGTCTTCCCGGCACGGTCGTAAAGGGATTTCAAGTTGTCAATCCCTTCGTACATCTCACTAGAGATACGTACGCGCCACCACGGGCTAGTAAGGAGGTAAGCCTCCTTAGGTGCGCGCGCAGAGCTGTTTACACAACAAGGGCACGGGTCTCCCCAAAAGAGACAGGGTAACCCAACCTCCTTTGACAGACGATGCAGCTTGTAGCGTGCACCTGTCGGGGTTCGCTTTTCAAACTTATCACGAGCTTTGGTCAGTTTGTCGTTACAAACGTCACGACCTACATCCTCAAGGTTATGGATGTAAGCGTTCCACGCTTGAAGAAGTGAGGGACCATCACGTTTGTGATTCCCACTGTACCATCGATACTTAAAGAAAGCATCGATGAAGAATTCATTCTCAGTGTGATAGTCTTTCACACTGGGGTCAAGGTGATGGATCCTTGATGAATCGAACAATCGTGTTCGATAGCGATCACTTGTCGCCGCCGACAAGCGATCCATGACCGACATTGGAGGCAGCCATGCTTTCTTTTCGGGAGCGAGACGCAACACACTGCGGTCCCGCTCTTCCTGCGAAGTGCCGACAGAAGCACTGGCACCTCGTTGCGAAGTGGTGTCAATAGGAGAACCTACACCACTGTTAGCGCCCGAGTCTTGCGATCTCGAGCGCCTTCGCTTTGGCGATGGTTCATCTGATTCGTCAGATGAACCGAATATGATACGACGAGTAGCATCATCCATGCCACGCTTGGCAGGCGGCTTGGTTTCAACCGCCTTCGATACGGATCCCTCTTCCGTATCAGGAGAGTATGAGACACCGAGCTCATACTCTGAGAAGACATGAGTGTCTTCATGACGAGCGCCTGCATCACCAGGTGATACAGACTGAGACACTATGGCAACCGATGGCACATCGGTTGCAGAGGTTTCTGCTTCGGCGTCTTCACAGAGTTGTGCAGACGCGCTCTCAGCGGCCTTGTTCTCGCACCTCATGGGCTTGTTTACCATGCGATGAAATTAATGGACCGTGGACTCGGACCACCAAGTGCAAACCCCGTCCCAAATGATTTGGGACGAGTATCCATTCAGACAATCAGTCACTAAAGTGACTGATGGTTAAGGGGGGGGTGATGTAAGCAGGTGAACCGTTACAAACAATTTATAAGAAATTGTTAATAGAATATAACTATAAGAGTTATATTCTCAGAATATTGTCATAAGGACAAATTTTCTGTAGCACTTACGAGTAGTTCCTAATTGGTTGATATAGGCCATTATATCAACCAACGAGGACGCGCCACGACAGACGCACACAATGAGTGGTGAGCAGATGGTTGATATGCACATTTGTATTTAGACATAGTTAGATGAGGATAAACTGGGGGTTTATTAACAGACATTAACTATGATAAATACAGTTCTACTTTTTACTTTAACCAAGTACTCGCTTCTTCTTACCGTCTTCCTCTGCACGTACCAGTGTACGTGAAGTTCCGAGGCACCGCCTTATTCTGTCGTCAGAATAAGTAGCTTGTACTGTCATCAGTACAAGGTTCAAAGTGCCCCGTTACACCAGTTTAGTGCATGCACACAAGGTGCGCGCATCACGTCTACCTCAAAAATTCTGGCACTGCAACTTCTCTTGCCAAGCGCAAACAAGAGGTCCATTTCAGGATCGTAGAGCGGAAACAACTGGCCACCACCTCCTGCATCCACTCTTTCTCAATGTAAGCACTTGGCCATGCGTCGAGGGTCCCACAACTTGAGCTCTCGGTCCTGCCTCAGCGTATCGCTTCCACACGTGACAAAATGCTGCGTCCGTCCATACCTATCCACACCCACGGGTCGTGTACCTGAATGTGCCTTTGGCACTTCGACGTCATATTCTCACGCGGGTCCACCATCCTCACAGCTTGGCCCTGCGTTGCCGCTATCACAGCTCGACCATCCCAAGTCCAGTCCGCAGACGTCAACGAAGCGCCTTGTCCCACTGCTCTCTCCAAGCTCATCGTCGAAGCATGCACGTCATACAGTATCAGCACTCCTCGTCTCGAGTACGTGGCCTACACCGACTCAGCCGTCGGATGCGGCATAATACCCACTACACTGCCCGCTGTTTTATGAGAAAACACCGTCACAGGCGTCACAAGCTCTCCATCCTCTCACCCGGTGACCCCACTCGCTGGATCTTCACCGTCGCCACAGCACCGCTAGCAGAGAGCAACAGGTCTTCACGAAAACGCGAGAAAGCTACATCTGTCGTCACGCGTCCCGTCTTGTGTGCGCGCACGACAGCGGCCGTGTCTCTGAAGACTCCTGACTCTCTTTCTCAGCTGCGTCAATCCCACTCAGAGCTTCCACTTGGATTGAGCCGCCATGAGTATCTTCCGACTGAACAAATGCAAAGTGAGCGGACGTCGCAGCAAGAGCGGGACGTTCAGAACTGGCACTTGGAAGAGACACGGGCAAGTGCGTCAAACCTCGGGACGCAGGGGCGAGTCGCGTGCTCTCCACGTGACGAAACTTGCTGGACAAATGGACACAGGAGAGAGCGACAGAGACAGAGAGAGGAAAAGAGAGGGGAGGGACAGAGCGCGTTAGTTATGCTGAGCCTTAGCAAGAGAGAGAGAGAGAGGAAGGTGGAGACGGGGTTACCTTGCGTGGGACGCAGTCATGAATGTGCTGACGAGTCAGTTGCTATGGCGGACATTGTGAAAATTTTGGTGATTTAATTTCTTTCATAATTTTATCAAATTTGTCAGAATCTTGTACTCGATTAGTGTTGAAAGGTATGGCACGGGAGTGACGAGGAGACCAGAAGAGACCGGAGGGAGCGAAGAGGCTTAAGGAGCGGAGCAGAGAAGACTTGCTCGGCAGACGAGAATTCGAAAGTGATTGATTATCGGGGCTTAGTACTTACTACATGATTTATATGTGCACCACATATAAATCATGTGAAGCGTCTCATCATTCTACGCGTCTAATCAACTATGGTAACTACGTAAGAACTACGTCGTAAATACTAAGCTGAACAGGCGGTTCGGATTGGACCGGTCACGGTTACCAATACTGGTAGGAAACCGATGACCGTCAACACGCCCCCTCAATGCGAACACGCACAAATCCCGAGAGCCGCCGTCATCTCCTTGTGGCGTGGCCCGTGAAGTCCCTTCGTCATGATGTCCGCTAACATCACCGCAGTTTCACAGTACTTGAGCTTCACTTCACCGCGCTTGACCTCATCACGGATGTGATGATACTTAAGTCAATGTGCTTGGCACGGCCGTGGGTGACCGGGTTCTTCGTCATCTATATACACGACTGATTGTCTTCATGGATCATAAGTTTCAGTCCTTCTTCATTGGCAGCCATCATGATCTCACACAGTAGACGATGAATCCACTTGCCCTCTTGAATCGCCAAGCTGAGTGCGATGTATTCGGCTTCACTCGTGGACAACGAACACTTGGCTGTTTCTTGCTGCCTCAACTCACTGGCGCACCCAACAGCATGAATACGTAACCAGACGTCGACTTACGATCAGCGAGGTCACCGGCCCAGTCTGCATCCGAGTAGCCACGAAAGTCGATCTTCGCATCTGGCTTGTAGCAGATCCGTGCATCTTAGTGCCTTGTAGGTAGCGGAAGATGCGCTTGACCGCAACCCAGTGTTCTTCTTGGGGGTTCTCCATGAATCGCGACACATATCCCACGGCGAACGCAATATCCGGGCGCGTTGCAGTGGTCAGGTGCATCAACGCATCAACAGCTTCGCGAAAAGGAGCATCGACCTTGGTGACTGCACCACTTGAAACAAGTCGAGAGCTCATGTCGACTGGACTTGCGACGGCCTTGCAATCATCCATGCCAAAGCGCTTGAGTATGTCATCTACATACCGACGCTGACATAGTGTCACGCTTCCATCTGCGCCGTCCAAAAGATCGATTTCAAGCACGAATGCACACTTGCCGCTGTCAGTCATCTCGAATTGTGTCTTCAGGTCGGTCTTGGTACGTGCAATTAGCTCGCATGAGCTACCGGTGATCAACATGTCATCCACATACACCAGCAGTAGCACGCATTGCCCTTCCACAATCCTTATGTAGAGACACGGGTCGAGGCTTGACGCTTGAAATCCAATAGCACACACGAACTCGTCAAACGTTTCGTCCCATACGCGCGACGCTTGCTTTAGTCCGTAGATTGCCTTCACCAACCCCAGACAATCGAAGGAGCCCTCCAATTCTACGCCTTCAGGGATGACGCAGAACACTTGTTCCTTCATGACACCATACAGGAACGCCGTCACCACGTCGAGTTGGTCGATGGTCCATCCGAAATACTTGGCGACTGCAATCACCATGCGCGGCGTCACGTACTTGGCGACGGGCGAGAATGTTTCCGTGTAGTCCATCCCGTATTGTTGCTTGAAACCCTTTGCCACAAGACGCGCCTTGTACTTGTCAATTGATCCGTCCGCTTTGCGCTTGATCTTGAAGACCCACTTCGTGCCAATGGCGCAATGTCCTTTAGGTAGCTTGGCTGTGCGGAATACTTCACGAAGTCGCACTGACTCAAGTTCTGCACGGATAGCTTCGCGCCAATGCGCTTGATCAGGAACGCTCACCGCATCTTTAAAAGTCGATGGCTCGGATAAGTCCACTGCTGTTTCGATGGCGTTCGCACTCGCACGCCAAAACACAGGCGGAGTCGATGCATCAGCATTCTTTGTTTCTTCATATTCTTCTTGGTGGGTCGTGTGGTTGTCTGGCGCACTTGATTCTTCCAGTCCAGGCCGTTGACGCACTGTGCGCGTGGGTGGAGCTAGTTATCCTTCATCATGGGGACGACTCTTGCGCTTGCCTGTTTGCTTGTACTGCGCTTGACCTGGCGCTTCATCATCCAGATCGAGGGAGTCGAAGTCAAGGTCATCGGCGTCTTCAGCGGTGGTAGGCGGCGAAAGTCCAAAGGCGGACTCGTCAAAGTTGACATCGCGACTGATGAACACCTGCCCCGCCTCGATGTCATAAACGCGATACGCTTTGGATGCTTCTTCGTAGCCCAAGAATATCCCAGTGCGAGCCTTGGGGTCCCACTTGGACTGCTTCTCCTTCGGTGTCAGTATGCAAACCTGACAATCGAACACCTGCATGTGCTTGACACTTGGTTTGGAGTTGTGAACGATCTTGAACGGAGTCTTGTGCATAACTTTAGGTGACGGCAGACGGTTCTTGACGTAGATTGCCGCCATTACTGCTTCGGCCAGAAGCACTTTTCCAACTTAGCATGGTGGAGCATGCTGCGACCAATTGTGAAGATAGTCCAAATGGCGCGCTCCGCCGTGCCGTTGGTCTGGTGTGCATATGGCACCGTCGTCTGCTGATCAATGCCTTGATCTTCGTAGAATTCTTGAAGCGAGTTGGTTGTGAACTCGCGGGCTCCGTCGTGTCGGACGAGCTTGACCTTCTTGCCAAATTGCGCTTGCACCATCTTGATGTATCGTGTGATGTAGTTTTCACTCTCCGACTTCACACGTAGACAGAAGCCCTTCATGCATCCACTGGATTCGTCAACGATCAGCAGTAGATACTTGCTACCACCCAGAGAATTCATCTCCATGGGTCCGCAGATGTCGACGTGAAGTAGCTCGAAGGTGTCGTATCTGCGCTTGTCCTGGTTGCGTGGGAATGGTTTTGTGACCATTTTCCCTTGTTGACATCATCGACATGCGCTTGATCCACTTGACTTGAGAGGTACCTATACATCCTTGATCATGTTCGTGGCCACCATTTTGCGAAGCACATCAGCTGGAGCGTGTCCCATCCGCGCATGTAATTTGACACCGTTGCTTCCGTTTGTTGTCGCATTGGCCGATCGGTGAGCTGTGTGAAGCCAGTAAAGGCATCCACAAGATCTGCTGTTGCCACCACTTGTTGCGATCCTTTGAGAGCGACAAACATCTTGGTCCAGTCGAACACGACTTGAAACTTTCCGTGCTCGTTGATCTGCGGTTCCGAAAGTAGATTCTTGCTCATGCTTGGTACGTAAAGCACGTTCTTGATCTCGATCTCGCGCTCTTCACCGTCGGGCAGAACCACCTTTTCAAAGATGGTTCCAACATCCTTGATGGCCACTTTGTTGCCATTTGCCACCAAGATTTCACCGTCGTTGCGCTTGTTCAGTCTTGCAAACTTCGTCTTGTCGTGGCATATGTGGTGTGTTGCACCACTGTCGACGGCCCACATTCCGAACACGTACTTCTTCGCTGAGAGTCCACACTCTAGCGAAACTGCAAACGCTACTTGATCGTAGTCGCTGTCTTCATCACGATATTGTCCCCACTGGACATTGTTTGCCCCGCGTCCACGACCATTGCCGCCGCGTCGGGCTCCTCGACTTTCATTCTTCTGCTTGGTCCAACAGCGATCGACGGTGCGTCCCACCTTCCCACAGTAGGTGCACTTGTATGGCTCGCGCTCAGTGTTGAAGGACTTGGCTGCATCTTCAGTTTTGACCATCGTCGCTGTTGTTGTCACCTTCTCCCCTTGGCGCTTGGTGTGCTCATTCGTGAGCACTTTCACCACATCTTGGGTACGAAGCTCTACGCTGCTCATCTCCAAGTTTAGAATAACGTTCTCAAAACTTTTAGGGAGACTGAGCAGAAGGCAAATTGCGACGTCCTCGTCCTCCATCTTCGCACCGATGCTGCTAAGCTTGGCGGTGATGTTCAGGACCTCGTTGCAGTGATGCATGACGTTGGCGCCTTCATCCATCTTCAGGCTGAAGAGTTGACGCTTGAGGTAGATCCTTCCCGCTTTCTGGGACCCACCGTACAGCACCTTCAGACTTTGCCACGCAACCCACGCTTCCTCGCAGTTTGTCAACCATATGGTGGTAGTCCGCACCCATGTGGAGCAACATCAAACTAAACGCGGTGTTGCTCGTCTTGACGTAGTCTTCCTGCGCCCGTGGCTCCACAAACGCTGGAGAGCTCTCCCGGTTGACACATGCCACACCGACTTGGTGAGAAACACACCACGCATGTATCGACTCCAGGTCGAATAGTTGTCCCCATCGAACTTATCGATGAGGACGTTGGAGGATGCGTGGCCGGCAGAAGACATTGCGCTTGGGCCCATAACCTGTTAAAAGGTATGGCACGGGAGTGACGAGAAGACCGGAAGAGACCGGAGGGAGCGAAGAGGCTTGAGGAGCGGAGCAGAGAAGACTTGCTCGGCAGAAGGAGAATTCGAAAGTGATTGATTATCGGGGCTTAGTACTTACTACATGATTTATATGTACACCACATATAAATCATGTGAAGCGTCTCATCATTCTACGCGTCTAATCAACTATGGTAACTACGTAAGAACTGCGTCGTAAATACTAAGCTGAACAGGCGGTTCGGATTGGACCGGTCACGGTTACCAATACTGGTAGGAAACCGATGACCGTCAACAATTAGTATTCGATAAAAAAAGAATGAACTTCTCGTATTACGTCTAAGGCCATATTTATATCAGCCGGAGAAGATATTGTTTAATGGATTTTAAAAAAAATCTCGGTATAAACTCCAATCAACGGTTGTTGCTAGTTCCTTTTAAAAATTTAGTAATTTAATTTTTTTTGATTTCTGAGAATTGTTTTTTTCTTATTTAGTTAATTAAGGCTTTTGATTTGTTATTTATTCGACCTTCTTGTGACGAAACTCGACGTTGGTGTGGACGACACCAAACACTCACTCCTCGTTTGTTTCAAGCAAACAAACGGCTCGAGATGCTGCGTCGGGTGTGGCAGCGAGCAGGTATGTGGCAGTCACCCGACGCGGTTCTATTGCGCCGATTCTGTCAATGCACAGGACTGTGTGCTGCCGCGTCGACAAGATCGGTCCTCGCCACGCGCTTCGGCGCTGCGTCCGCGCGCGCGGTCGCCAGTCAATCAGACGCTGCCGAAAAAACGCTCCGCAGTCCGAACCAATTGAACGTTTTATTGTCCAATCAAACGCCGCCCACGACTTTTGTAGCCACTTGTCGCGCGTTGCGCGTCATTGACGAGACGGCGCTATTGGCGACGATTGACGTCCGGACGTGGAACGTGGCACTGCAGCGACGACTGGAGGCTCAAGACGAACGCGTGGCAGCGGAGCTCTTGGGTTTAATCGCGAGTTGTAGTCGCGAAAATGCAAGTGTACCCATGTGGACCGATTTGTTTTTTACAGTGTGACGACAGCGTTCTTTACGCGGGTTTCGAACGGATGAGATGCAGGAGCTCTTGAGACAGTTGAAGCGGAGATACGGACCGCAATTTGTAGCCCGCGTGCTCGTAGACGTGGTCATGGCTGTGCCAATATCAAGGTGTTTGCATCTGCTCACGAGCTGCTGCTGTATCAGCAGACGTTGTGGTCGGAGATTTGCTCTGGTACTACTCCTACTACTACAGACGAGACATTGACGACGGGGTGGAGCGAGCAGAGTAAAGCGCTGATGCCGCCATCAGTGGTTGGCCAGTTGATGGCCAAGATGATGCACAGGAAAAAGCACGGTCAAGTGCTGGCGCTTGCACGCGCGTAGTTTGCTAGTGCTGCGTTCGATCCAGTGCGAGATTTATAGCAACAAGGGTTCCTTGAACTGTTTAAAGCAAGTGTGTACATACAACAGAGTCCGAGGAATGTGGTGCACGTGTTTTCGGACTATGTGGAGGGAACGTGCCGTGCAGCAGGAGGCAAGGTGGAGAGAGTGAGGACACGAGTGCTCGAGCGAGGCTTTGGAGCTGCGATTCACTGCTGTGTAAAGCTTGATGAATATTCGCTGGCGTTGCATTGTTATGAAGTGATGGAAAGCACACGAGAGAGGCTCGTTTGTGCTGGGGACGACTTACCGGTGGACGACGCGATCGACGAAGCTGCAGAGAGGGTTGGCATCGTGGATGAAGTGCTGCTAGCTGATGAAAATATATACGTCAACGTGTTGAAAGCATGTATGGAGATCGAGGATTTCTCCACGTTTAAAGATGCGTTCCGCGGGATGGTAGCTCGAGGTGTGGCTCGTAGTGCTGGATTCGGGTCAGCGATTCGTTATTGTCACAAGCATTTGGATCCAGTGTTCCTTGAAGAAGTGTTGGACGGGGTATTTTTGACGGAGCAGGAGCTTGCGGGTGCCTGGATGTTAGAGGTAGAAAACTACAATGATGCGCTTGGCTGTTTTGCCGCTACGAATAGACCGGACCAAGCCAAGGAGCTGTTCTCGGAAATGCTGAACAACTCGTCGATAGTGCCCGGCATATTACGATGCTTGAGATGGTGGAGAGTCACCGCAACGCCTTGATCGAGGAGGCGTTTCATCTCATGGACGTGTTTCTTGAGTGGAAGCTAACATCGAATCTTCAGGTGTTCACATCGCTGCTGTCCATCTACATGCGCCGTCGTGAAGTAGGCAATGCTGTTGCGCTCATTGGTGCGATGGGAGAGCATGGTATCGTTCAGGATGTGAAGGCATTCACGACTGTGGCGTTCTATTATGCATCTCGCGGTGACTGAAGGCTGTGGAAGACGTTTTACGAGACGTGGCGAGTCAAGGTGTTGCTACCGACAGGATGTTGTTTGACTACGTCCTCAACGCACTGTACGGGTCGTGCGGTATCGACATGTGTTTCTCGCTCTTGCGTGAGCTGAGTGCAAACGAGCTGGCGATTCCGGACGGGCTGTACATCTCGCTAATTGATCTCGGCACCACGATTGGTTTGATTGAGCGCACGCTGCGTATTGCTTACGACAAGGAGTGCGAAGGCTTTCATCTCTCATCGAAGCAGTTGTACGCGTTGATGATGCGTTGTCACTCGGACGGCGAGATTTCGGAGTTTGTGCGAACGTATGTGATGTTAGCCCAGGGCGTGCCGCCCCAGACTCCGCGCTTTGAGGTGGAAATGTATGAAGATTTGATATCGGTGCTGACGCAATTCAGTCGCAAAAACGAAGTCCCGAAAGTGCAGGAGCTGGCTAGATCAGTGGGGTGCACTGATTTGCTTATTTAAGCGTATTTGTTGGTGCGGTTGGCCGTGCCGCGCCACGCTGCGACGCGCTCAAGGCAAATGTACCCACAAAATAACGGTTCGTATCGTTCTTCTTTCACACGGCATTTCATTGTTTTTTGTTCCATCTATGCTAATTTCCGGTGTCGACGTACTGCTCAAGCTGCTTAAGCAGGGGTTGGTAGAGCTTTTCGTTGGCTTGAACAGCTCAAACAAAGTCCAAATGGCTAAAGCTGCTGATCTCTTTCTCATAGACAATTGTGCTGGACAGCAACGCAGATCGTAACTGATCGATGTCAGCTCGAGTGGCGAAGGTGTCGTTTCCATCAGTAAATAATCCAGTGCGAGGGTACTCCATGCTGCTAATGGGAAAATCTGGTGGGTCAAAGCTGCCGTACTTGACTTTGTTGGTGCACCTGTTTTCGGACACAGGTGAATGCCAAGCATGCGAGGACATCTGCAGCCATAGTCGAACGCTGAAAAGGTGTTTTCGCGGATGCTTTGGGCGTAGTGGCGCATGCTCTTGACGGAGGTTCCTGAGGGCACATCTGAAGCGTAATCGCCTATACGAGATGCGTTCAAGTTCTCCGTAGATTTGACTACGAGTGCAAACCCCGAGGCGCACAATTCCGGACCCATGCGACATGCAGCCGGTTGAATGCTTTTTTGTAGCAACGCGTTATGCGAAAAGAGCTGGACTTGACCGGAGGCCTCGAGGACCTTGTCGAAGTAGGCACGAGCAAGGAGCTTGAACGTCCTCGAATCTGTATTGCCTAGCCAGGCAACAGGTCCCAGAGCCGCACAATAGGACACGGATCGAGCGAGGTTCTGGTTTTTGCAGCAAACGCGAACGAATGCCTGAGTTGACCCCTGCGAATACCCTACAAGAGCCAGTGTCTCCCGTCCCGACGTCTCCAGAGCATAGTTGAGCGTTGCTGGCATGTCAAACTTGCCCATGTCTTCCCACAAAAGGCCCAGAACGCAGTGTCTTTGGTCGTGTACTTAACGTGGCTGGACGAGTACGTATTGCCGCGATTATTCCCAAGCCAGACATCGTGGCCAGCATCAGCAAGCACATAGGCGAGACTGTGGTTCCGGGAGTCGCACACCCATGCGAAACTACTGGCCACCATTTCATGCTGGACGAAAACAGCTAGTTTGTTTCGGTCTGCCTTGTCGTTGTCGGTGGCATCTGCTTGGCTTTCTCTGTACGACGTTGGTAAGCGATGCATGGAGAGGATGTATCCATCTATTGTCGTGACATTGTGCATCTCCACTACGTAGCCACGCGCTTGAACGAGCTCAACAGTGGACTTCCCAGCATCTGGATCGAGGTCTAGCTCAGCTGCCGTGACTTTGTCGAAGTGCAAGAGCGAGTGAGTTAACGCAAGCAGCGCGAGTTCCGAGCACAGGACCACGAGGGCTTTGTCTCGAGATGAAAACCCTTCTGCAGTGTTGACAGGATGACGTTTACGATAATGAATGTGCGGCACCAAGTCACGCGAAACCGAAGAATACACAGCACGGATTCGTGCACTTTCGTTCGCCTTCTGTCTTGTGGTCTTCCTTGGCGTCTCCTTTGTCATTTGCACCTCACTAGATGTCGTCCCCTTTACTGCCGCCGACTTTCCATCATTTGACTGCTACAAGAGCTCGATGATCCATTCAATTGGGCGAGCAGCACCTCTGCTCAACGTCCGCTATGTAACCGTCATCGTAATCATCAAGTTGATTACTCGTGTCGTTTCGTTTACTGCCATAATCAGCCCAAGGGCTCATCTGCTGCTGCGCGTGACTTGAGACCGTGTTTTCTGTCGAAAATGCCACATGTGTACGCATTTCGATCAAAAATAGAATCTGAAACGCTCCCGCGGCAACTCTTAACGTCACATAGGTGATAGGATATCAGAGACTAGTGACTGAATGTAGAGAGTGCTGACATCATGCAGAGAGTGCTGGCTGGAGATGACGTTCTGCAGGTGTTTAGTATACTTATTTTGACTACTATTTTATAGGTCAGGTAGGTAAAGATGACGTGAGCCATGTAGTCGGTCTTGGGACGAGGTACATGAGATGACCAGACCTCAGTATAGAAGAACAAGTAAGAGACTGCAGGAAGTATAGTCGCTTGATGGGTTGAACAAGCATGGAGAGTATGCCTGATTGGTGAGAGGAATGCGTACTTACTCGCACGTCGCAGACTTGGGTCGGTGCATCTCACGGGTCGGAGCAAAGGCATGAGCGAGGACGACTTCATTCTGAAAAAATCGACATCAGCAACACTCGAGTCTACAACACAATCGCATTGACAACTTAACCAGTTTGAATAATCATGGTGAGTGCATGATTCATTTCTCGATTTATCAATTTACTTGTTGCTAACGTTTCTCTTCTGTGTGCATGTGTTTACTAGTGGATTACTATCGAGATCCAGAGCTTATGCAACCTCGTTGAAGAGAGTATCCGTCATGTACTGAGTGTGCTGTCGGAGATTGCTTCCAAAGCATGCGGCATCTACGAGAAGAGCGTTAGTCCCACTGATTGGGACTTCAACCAGCTCACCAAGCTGCGCTCAAGTGATGAGAAGCACTGCACCATTGGGTACAGCCACGCACTGCGCCCGCTAAAGGAAGCAAGCAGGCACAACAAGTGCCATGCTACCCAAGCAGGTATGGCAGATGCCCATCCGGTGAACAGGTTCAAGTTGAAGCCTATTTGCAACGAGGTTAATACCAACGAGTTCACACAGCTCGTTGCTACTCGCGATCCTGATGAAGATGGTGAAGATAGGACGTGGTACAGCCGGACACTGCTCCATTTAAAGAACAAGCGCCAACGCCAATTGAGCCACTACGATCGAGCTGATTCGTTTTGTTCGACAATCTCAAGTCTCGACTAGTTTACACTTACAATGTCTTAGCCCGTAGTCTAGCGATAAACGTTTTTAATAAATCTATCTGTTAAACATGGTTCGCGACTTTGTTGATGTTAACAATAAAAGCATACTCAAGAAACATGCGCAGTCACAGCAACAATACTCTGTACTGATGCGACAGCCTTCTGTAAACGCATATATTATCTTATTCAGTTCAACTCGTCTAATTCGCTTCTATAGCTGCGAGTCGATCCGGCTGCAGCGACACAGCTGACAGTTTTCTTGGAGCCACGTCCACGCCGGTAAGATTCACGTTCATTTGCATGTCCGTGATAGCCAATGATTCAGATGAAAAACTAAGTCACGCTCAGCGGGGTGTGAACAAGTGTGGTCACGAATGGAAACGTCAAGTCACATTGAAGTTTATAGTGGTCTGGCGCGTGAAAGTAGCATTGAGCAAAGGGGAAGGACTAGTGAGCAGACTCGAGCAGGGGATGTGGTAGTATTGGCTTCATTGTAACATGAAGGCACCCGAGGTGTAAAAGTGAATTCATTGCATGCTAAAAGCATTGACGCAGCAACGACTTGTACATTGGTTCATGCATAGTTCGTGTAGCAATGGCTGCTACGTTTCTCGATATTGACACAGTACGCGCTCTCGAATCTGATCGGTTGTTGAAGTACATTTTACCCGTAGTTTCCAACGCCGATTGAACACAAGTGAATCCACATGTCACGCGTACCACTACAAAGAAAACCAAGCGTGGTCCCGGGATCAATTAGCGAGATGTACAGCCCGTCTGGAATCGCCAGCTCGTTTGCACTCAGCTCACGCAAGAGCGAGAAACACATGTCGATACCGCACGACCCGTACAGTGCGTTGAGGACGTAGTCAAAGAACATCCTGTCGGTAGCAACACCTTGACTAGCCACATCTCGTAAAACGTCTCCCACAGCCTTCAAGTCACCGTAAGATGCATAATGAACGCCACAGTCGTGAATGCCTTCACATCCTGAACGATACCATGCTCTCCCATCGCACCAATGAGCGCAACAGCATTGCCTACTTCACGACGGCGCATGTAGATGGACAGCAGCGATGTGAACACCTGAAGATTCGACGTTAGCTTCCACTCAAGAAACACGTCCATGAGATGAAACGCCTCCTCGATCAAGGCGTTGTGGTGACTCCCCACCATCTCAAGCATCGTAATATGCCGGGCACTATCGACGAGTTGTTCAGCATTTCCGAGAACAGCTCCTTGGCTTGGTCCGGTCTATTCGTAGCGGCAAAACAGCCAAGCGCATCGTTATAGTTTTCTACCTCTAGTGTCCAGGCACCTGCAAGCTTCTGTTCTGTCCAGAATACCACGTCCAACACTTCTTCAAGGAACACTGGATCCAAACGCTTGTGACAATAACGAATCGCCGACCCGAATCCAGCACTACGAGCCACACCTCAAGCTACCATCCCGCGGAACGCGTCTTTAAACGTGGAGAATCCTCGATCTCCATACATGCTTTCAAAACGTTGACGTATATATTTTCATCAGCTAGCAGCACTTCATCCACGATGCCAACCCTCTCTGCAGCTTCGTCGATCGCGTCGTCCACCCGTAAGTCGCCCCCAGCACAAACGAGCCTCTCTCGTGTGCTTTCCATCACTTCATAACAATGCAACGCCAGCGAATATTCATCAAGCTTTACACAGCAGTGAATCACAGCTACAAAGCCTCGCTCGAGCACTCGTGTCCTCACTCTCTCCACCTTGCCTCCTGCTGCACGGCGCGTTCTCTCCACATAGTCCGAAAACACGTGCACCACATTCCTCGGACTCTGTTACGTGTACACACTTGCTTTAAACAGTTCAAGGAACCCTTGTTGCTATAAATCTCGCACTGGATCGAACGCAGCACTAGCAAACTACGCGCGTGCAAGCGCCAGCACTTGACCGTGCTTTTTCCTGTGCATCATCTTGGCCATCAAGTGGCCAACCACTGATGGCGATATCGTCGCTTTACTCTGCTCGCTCCACCCCGTCGTCAATGTCTCGTCTGTAGTAGTAGGAGTAGTAGTACCAGAGCGAATCTCCGACCACAACGTCTGCTGATACAGCAGCAGCTCGTGAGCAGCTGCAAACATCTTGATACTGGCACAGCCATGACCACGTCTACGAGCACGCGGGCTACAAATTGCGGCCCGTATCTCCGCTTCAACTGTCTCAAGAGCTCCTGCATCTCATCCGTTCGAAACCCGCGTAAAGAACGCTGTCGTCACACTGTAAAAAACAAATCGGTCCACATGGGTACACTTGCAGTTTCGCGACTACAACTCGCGATTAGACCCAAGAGCTCCGCTTCCCCGCGTTCGCCTTGAGCCTCCAGTCGTCGCTGCAGTGCCACGTTCCACGTCGGACGTCAATCGTCATCAACAGCGCCGTCTCGTCAATGACGCGCAACGCGCGAAAAGTGGCTACAAAAGTCGTGGGCGGCGTTTGATTGGACAATAAAACGTTCAATTGGTTCGGACTGCGGAGCGTTTTTTCGGCAGCGTCTGATTGACTGGCGACCGCGCGCGCGGACGCAACGCCGAAGCGCGTGGCGAGGACCGATCTTGTCGACGCGGCAGCACACGGTCCTGTGCATTGACAGCAACGGCGCAATAGAACCGCGTCGGGTGACTGCCACACACCTGCTCGCTGCCACACCCGACGCAGCATCTCGAGCCGTTTGTTTGCTTGAAACAAACGAGGAGTGAGTGTTTGGTGTCGTCCACATCGACGTCGAGTTTCGTCACAAGCAGGTCGTATTTAGTGTCCACCACAGCAACTGACTCGTCAGCACAGTCAGAACTGCGTCCCCGCGAGGTAAGACCATCTCCCCCCTCTCTCTCTCTCTTGCTCACGCTTTGCATAATTAAAGCGCTCTGACTAAAGATTTGCTGCTCATTCTTGCTTGGTACGCGGAGGATGTGACTCGCCTTGTCGAGAAAGAGGTGCAAGAAGTAGAAGAGGTTTTTCGCGGCATTTACCCCGAGGCCGCCTTCATCGAGTGAGAGCCTGATGGCAAAGAGTCGGAGATGCGTGCCGTGTTGAGTGTGCAGACAAAGTCTTTCCGTACGAACGAGCGTGAAGCCATGACGCGAGCGCTGGCACTGCTTGCACGGACATTAGAGCGGAAGACAACAGGAGCTGATCGTTTAGCTACTACCGGCACGAGTGAATACATGTTCAGTGGTGGTACGTGTGACATGTGAATTTGCTTGTGTTCAATCGGCGTTGGAACCTACGGATAAAATATACTTCAACAACCGATCAGATTCGAGAGCGCGTCCTGTGCCAATATCGAGAAACGTAGCAGCCATTGCTACACGAACAATGCATGAACCAATGTACAAGTCGTTGCTGCGTCAATACTTTTAGCATGCAATGAATTCACTTTTACACCTCGGGTGCCTTCATGTTACAATGAAGCCAATACTACCACATCCCCTGCTCTGAGTCTGAGTCTGCTGAGTCTGCTCACTAGTCCTTCCCCTTTGCTCAATGCTACTTTCATGCACCAGGCCACTGCAAACTTCAATGTGACTTGACGCTTCCATTCGTGACCACACTTGTTCACACCCCGCTGGGCGTGACGTTGCCACAGCTGAAAAGCGAAAAGAAGGGGTGATGCGAAATCAAGCACAGTACGCGAGGTCTCCATTCCAAATCTGCCTCACCAACAGATGCTGCATCGCAAAAAAAACACGTTGCTGGCAACAACTTCGATAAAGTAATCAACGGGTCGCATCGTAGCACTTCGAAACGCTCTCTCTCTTTCTCTTGTTCTCGGTCTCTCTATGATGGAATACTAAAACTAAAGCCCGTCGAAAACTCGCAGGCGCGCTGGATACTGGTGTGCGCCACATCACTTAACGTGTCGGGGCTTCCAAGGCTGGCAATAGCTCGCCACATGCTGCGCTCGCTGCAGTTGTCGCTGCGGCGTTCATAGAGCGTGCGCACGCTACCTGTCGCTTGGATGCGTCTTCATCGCATGTTTCCTTGTCCATCTCCGAACGCGGTGACGCAGTCGCTTTCGCTCCGATGGCTTGCAACGACAGTCCCTAATGGACAAGACTTTGATACTGAACAAGCTCCTGAGATGAAGAGGAAGGAGGAGGAGGAGAAGAAGAAGATGGGTACAAAAGGCAGTGGTGATGATGGCGAAAGTGACAAGAGGACGGGGACAATAAGGAGGAGGAGCCGTTTCGGACAATGGCTGTTGAACCCACGTACCCTATGCGGAAGCTCCGTACGGACGTGAATCAGGCCTAATTTCCAGGTAAAGTGTGCCGTTCGACGTCTCGAGACGTGGTGCTTCGAGCCATGATCGGCAACACACTCATTATGACGCTCAAAGTGCTGGCGTGGCTCAATACGGGCTCGAATGCCATGCTCTCGGAAGCAATTCACTCGCTCGTGGACACGGACACTAGCAACCAGGCGATTCTGATCTTGGGCTTGAAGCAAGCATCGGGTGTGCCGCATAAAAAGCACCAATATGGATACACACGTGCTGCGTACTTTGGATTGTTCATCTCTGCGCTTGGCTTATGCTGGTTAGGTTCTGGGGTGACGGTTGTCCACGGGATCCAGTCGCTCTTGGATCCTCCGAAAGAGCTTTTTCTTTCGTGGGAAGTGTGGGGTGTGCTAGCAGCTTCTTTTGGCATTGACGGATGGGTGCTGAAGCGGTCAGTACAGGAACTGAGGGCTTCTCAGCCCCAAGACATGTCGTTTTACAAGCATGTGACGCGGACAAAGGATCCGTTTCTGATGGCTGTGCTGCTGGAAGACATGTCAGCATGTGTGGGTATCGTTATTGCTGGATGTGGCATTGGGGCCAGCCACATTACAGGCAACCCGGTGTGGGACAGTCTCGCTAGCGTATCGATTGGCGTGCTTCTTGGCGGTGCTGCAATATCGCTCATTCGAATGAATCAGAAGTATTTATCGGGCCAGTCAGTGGAACCGGAAATCGAGAATGGCATCCGCGAGTTACTGCTGGCGCGTCCGTCAATCGACAACGTCTATGCTGTCCAGTCACAGTGGGTCGGGCCATCTACATTTAGTTACAAGGTATGACGGCAGGATAGCGCGACTTGTACCGCCATTTATGTTAGGTCTTGACCCGTGCAGTATTTTTGGCATGTTCTAGGCTGAAGTTGACTTCGATGGGACGTTCTTGGCGGCGAAACTGCTGCGAATGTAAGCGTCATGATTCGTTTTGTCCTGCTCATTCTTCGGTACTAACGACGTGTGTTTTGTTTGTCTTGGCCTGGGTAGGTGCAAGCCGGTGTTTTTAGAGACAAGAGATCCGCTCATGCTTGCTTGGTACGCGGAGGATGTGACTCGTCTTGTCGAGAAAGAGATGCAAGAAGTAGAAGAGGTTATTTGCGGCATTTACCCCGAGGCCGCCTTCATCGAGTGGGAGCCTGATGGCAAAGAGTCGGAGATGCGTGCCGTGTTGAGTGTGCAGACAAAGTCTTTCCGTACGAGCGAGCGTGAAGCCATGACGCGAGCGCTGGCACTGCTTGCACGGACATTAGAGCGGAAGACAACAGGCGCTGATCGTTTAGCTACTACCGGCACGAGTGAATACATGTTCAGTGGTGGTACGTGTGACATGTGGATTTGCTTGTGTTCAATCGGCGTTGGAACCTACGGATAAAATATACTTCAACAACCGATCAGATTCGAGAGCGCGTCCTGTGCCAATATCGAGAAACGTAGCAGCCATTGCTACACGAACAATGCATGAACCAATGTACAAGTCGTTGCTGCGTCAATACTTTTAGCATGCAATGAATTCACTTTTACACCTCGGGTGCCTTCATGTTACAATAAAGCCGATACTACCACATCCCCTGCTCTGAGTCTGAGTCTGCTGAGTCTGCTCACTAGTCCTTCCCCTTTGCTCAATGCTACTTTCATGCACCAGGCCACTGCAAACTTCAATGTGACTTGACGCTTCCATTCGTGACCACACTTGTTCACACCCCGCTGGGCGTGACGTTGCCACAGCTGAAAAGCGAAAAGAAGGGGTGATGCGAAATCAAGCACAGTGCACGAGGTCTCCATCCCAAATCTGCCTCACCAACAGATGCTGCATCGCAAAAAGAACACGTTGCTGGCAACAACTTCGATAAAGTAATCAACGGGTCGCATCGTAGCACTTCGAAACGCTCTCTCTCTTTCTCTTGTTCTTGTTCTCTCTTTGATGGAATACTAAAAATGAAGCCCGTCGAAAACTCGCTGGTGCGCTGGATACTGGTGTGCGCCACATCACTTAACGTGTCGGGGCTTCCAAGGCTGGCAATAGCTCGCCACATGCTGCGCTCGCTGCAGTTGTCGCTGCGGCGTTCATAGAGCGTGCGCACTCTGCCTGTCGCTTGGATGCGTCTTCATCGCATGTTGCCCTGTCCAGCTCCGAACGCGGTGACGCAGTCGCTTTCGCTCCGATGGCTTGCAACGACAGTCCCTAATGGACAAGACTTTGATACTGAACAAGCTCCTGAGATGAAGAGGAAGGAGGAGGAGGAGAAGAAGAAGATGGGTACAAAAGGCAGTGGTGATGATGGCGAAAGTGACAAGAGGACGGGGACAATAAGGAGGAGGAGCCGTTTCGGACAATGGCTGTTGAACCCACGTACCCTATGCGGAAGCTCCGTACGGACGTGAATCAGGCCTAATTTCCAGGTAAAGTGTGCCGTTCGACGTCTCGAGACGTGGTGCTTCGAGCCATGATCGGCAACACACTCATTATGACGCTCAAAGTGCTGGCGTGGCTCAATACGGGCTCGAATGCCATGCTCTCGGAAGCAATTCACTCGCTCGTGGACACGGACACTAGCAACCAGGCGATTCTGATCTTGGGCTTGAAGCAAGCATCGGGTGTGCCGCATAAAAAGCACCAATATGGATACACACGTGCTGCGTACTTTGGATTGTTCATCTCTGCGCTTGGCTTATGCTGGTTAGGTTCTGGGGTGACGGTTGTCCACGGGATCCAGTCGCTCTTGGATCCTCCGAAAGAGCTTTTTCTTTCGTGGGAAGTGTGGGGTGTGCTAGCAGCTTCTTTTGGCATTGACGGATGGGTGCTGAAGCGGTCAGTACAGGAACTGAGGGCTTCTCAGCCCCAAGACATGTCGTTTTACAAGCATGTGACGCGGACAAAGGATCCGTTTCTGATGGCTGTGCTGCTGGAAGACATGTCAGCATGTGTGGGTATCGTTATTGCTGGATGTGGCATTGGGGCCAGCCACATTACAGGCAACCCGGTGTGGGACAGTCCGCTAGCGTATCGATGGGCGTGCTTCTTGGCGGTGCTGCAATATCGCTCATTCGAATGAACCAGAGGTATTTATTGGGCCAGTCAGTGGAACCGGAAATCGAGAATGGCATCCGTGAGCTGCTGCTGGCGCGTCCGTCCATTGGCAACGTCTATGCTGTCCATTCACAGTGGGTCGGGCCATCGACATTTAGTTACAAGGTGTGACGGCAGGATAGCGCGACTTGTACCGCCATTTATGTTAGGTCTTGACCCGTGCAGTATTTTTGGCATGTTCTAGGCTGAAGTTGACTTCGATGGGACGTTCTTGGCGGCGAAACTGCTGCGAATGTAAGCGTCATGATTCGTTTTGTCTTGCTCATTCTTCGGTACTAACGACGTGTGTTTGTTTGTCTTGGCCTGGGTAGGTGCAAGCCGGTGTTTTTAGAGACAAAAGATTTTGAAAAAGGTTTGCCGCTCACGCTTGCTTGGTACGCGGAGGATGTGACTCGTCTTGTCGAGAAAGAGGTGCAAGAAGTAGAAGAGGTTATTCGCGGCATTTACCCCGAGGCCGCCTTCATCGAGTGAGAGCCTGATGGCAAAGAGTCGGAGATGCGTGCCGTGTTGAGTATGCAGACAAAGTCTTTCCGTACGAACGAGCGTGAAGCCATGACGCGAGCGCTGGCACTGCTTGCACGGACATTAGAGCGGAAGACAACAGGAGCTGATCGTTTAGCTACTACCGGCACGAGTGAATACATGTTCAGTGGTGGTACGTGTGACATGTGGATTTGCTTGTGTTTAATCGGCGTTGGAACCTACGGATAAAATATACTTCAACAACCGATCAGATTCGAGAGCGCGTCCTGTGCCAATATCGAGAAACGTAGCAGCCATTGCTACACGAATTGTGCATGAACTAATGTGCAAGTCGTTGCTGCGTCAGTACTTTTAGCATGCAATGAATTCGCTTTTACACCTCGGGTGCCTTCATGCTACAAAGTAGCCGATACGACCACATCCCCTGCTCGAGTCCGCTCACTAGTCCTTCCCCTTCGCTCAATGCTACTTTCATGCACCAGGCCACTGCAAACTTCAATGTGACTTGACGCTTCCATTCGTGACCACACTTGTTCACACCCCGCTGGGCGTGACGTTGCCACAGCTGAAAAGCGAAAAGAAGGGGTGATGCGAAATCAAGCACAGTACACGAGGTCTCCATTCCAAATCTGCCTCACCAACAGATGCTGCATCGCAAAAAAAACACGTTGCTGGCAACAACTTCGATAAAGTAATCAACGGGTCGCATCGTAGCACTTCGAAACGCTCTCTCTCTTTCTCTTGTTCTTGTTCTCTCTTTGATGGAATACTAAAACTAAAGCCCGTCGAAAACTCGCAGGCGCGCTGGATACTGGTGCGCGCCACATCACTTAACGTGTCGGGGCTTCCAAGGCTGGCAATAGCTCGCCACATGCTGCGCTCGCTGCAGTTGTCGCTGCGGCGTTCATAAAGCGTGCGCACGCTACCTGTCGCTTGGATGCGTCTTCATCGCATGTTGCCCTGTCCAGCTCCGAACGCGGTGACGCAGTCGCTTTCGCTCCGATGGCTTGCAACGACAGTCCCTAATGGACAAGACTTTGATACTGAACAAGCTCCTGAGATGAAGAGGAAGGAGGAGGAGGAGAAGAAGAAGATGGGTACAAAAGGCAGTGGTGATGATGGCGAAAGTGACAAGAGGACGGGGACAATAAGGAGGAGGAGCCGTTTCGGACAATGGCTGTTGAACCCACGTACCCTATGCGGAAGCTCCGTACGGACGTGAATCAGGCCTAATTTCCAGGTAAAGTGTGCCGTTCGACGTCTCGAGACGTGGTGCTTCGAGCCATGATCGGCAACACACTCATTATGACGCTCAAAGTGCTGGCGTGGCTCAATACGGGCTCGAATGCCATGCTCTCGGAAGCAATTCACTCGCTCGTGGACACGGACACTAGCAACCAGGCGATTCTGATCTTGGGCTTGAAGCAAGCATCGGGTGTGCCGCATAAAAAGCACCAATATGGATACACACGTGCTGCGTACTTTGGATTGTTCATCTCTGCGCTTGGCTTATGCTGGTTAGGTTCTGGGGTGACGGTTGTCCACGGGATCCAGTCGCTCTTGGATCCTCCGAAAGAGCTTTTTCTTTCGTGGGAAGTGTGGGGTGTGCTAGCAGCTTCTTTTGGCATTGACGGATGGGTGCTGAAGCGGTCAGTACAGGAACTGAGGGCTTCTCAGCCCCAAGACATGTCGTTTTACAAGCATGTGACGCGGACAAAGGATCCGTTTCTGATGGCTGTGCTGCTGGAAGACATGTCAGCATGTGTGGGTATCGTTATTGCTGGATGTGGCATTGGGGCCAGCCACATTACAGGCAACCCGGTGTGGGACAGTCCGCTAGCGTATCGATGGGCGTGCTTCTTGGCGGTGCTGCAATATCGCTCATTCGAATGAATCAGAAGTATTTATTGGGCCAGTGATTGGAACCGGAAATCGAGAATGGCATCCGCGAGTTACTGCTGGCGCGTCCGTCAATTTACAACGTCTATGCTGTCCATTCACAGTGGGTCGGGCCATCGACATTTAGCTACAAGGTATGACGGCAGGATAGCGCGACTTGTACCGCCATTTATGTTAGGTCTTGACCCGTGCAGTATTTTTGGCATGTTCTAGGCTGAAGTTGACTTCGATGGGACGTTCTTGGCGGCGAAACTGCTGCGAATGTAAGCGTCATGATTCGTTTTGTCTTGCTCATTCTTCGGTACTAACGACGTGTGTTTGTTTTGTCTTGGCCTGGGTAGGTGCAAGCCGGTGTTTTTAGAGACAAAAGATTTTGAAAAGGTTTGCCGCTCACGCTTGCTTGGTACGCGGAGAATGTGACTCGTCTTGTCGAGAAAGAGGTGCAAGAAGTAGAAGAGGTTATTCGCGGCATTTACCCCGAGGCCGCCTTCATCGAGTGGGAGCCTGATGGCAAAGAGTCGGAGATGCGTGCCGTGTTGAGTATGCAGACAAAGTCTTTCCGTACGAACGAGCGTGAAGCCATGACGCGAGCGCTGGCACTGCTTGCACGGACATTAGAGCGGAAGACAACAGGAGCTGATCGTTTAGCTACTACTGGCACGAGTGAATACATGTTCAGTGGTGGTACGTGTGACATGTGGATTTGCTTGTGTTTAATCGGCGTTGGAACCTACGGATAAAATATACTTCAACAACCGATCAGATTCGAGAGCGCGTCCTGTGCCAATATCGAGAAACGTAGCAGCCATTGCTACACGAACAATGCATGAACTAATGTACAAGTCGTTGCTGCGTCAATACTTTTAGCATGCAATGAATTCACTTTTACACCTCGGGTGCCTTCATGTTACAATAAAGCCGATACTACCACATCCCCTGCTCTGAGTCTGAGTCTGCTGAGTCTGCTCACTAGTCCTTCCCCTTTGCTCAATGCTACTTTCATGCACCAGGCCACTGCAAACTTCAATGTGACTTGACGCTTCCATTCGTGACCACACTTGTTCACACCCCGCTGGGCGTGACGTTGCCACAGCTGAAAAGCGAAAAGAAGGGGTGATGCGAAATCAAGCACAGTGCACGAGGTCTCCATTCCAAATCTGCCTCACCAACAGATGCTGCATCGCAAAAAAAACACGTTGCTGGCAACAACTTCGATAAAGTAATCAACGGGTCGCATCGTAGCACTTCGAAACGCTCTCTCTCTTTCTCTTGTTCTTGTTCTCTCTTTGATGGAATACTAAAACTAAAGCCCGTCGAAAACTCGCAGGCGCGCTGGATACTGGTGCGCGCCACATCACTTAACGTGTCGGGGCTTCCAAGGCTGGCAATAGCTCGCCACATGCTGCGCTCGCTGCAGTTGTCGCTGCGGCGTTCATAAAGCGTGCGCATGCTACCTGTCGCTTGGATGCGTCTTCATCGCATGTTTCCTTGTCCAGCTCCGAACGCGGTGACGCAGTCGCTTTCGCTCCGATGGCTTGCAACGACAGTCCCTAATGGACAAGACTTTGATACTGAACAAGCTCCTGAGATGAAGAGGAAGGAGGAGGAGAAGAAGAAGAAGATGGGTACAAAAGGCAGTGGTGATGATGGCGAAAGTGACAAGAGGACGGGGACAATAAGGAGGAGGAGCCGTTTCGGACAATGGCTGTTGAACCCACGTACCCTATGCGGAAGCTCCGTACGGACGTGAATCAGGCCTAATTTCCAGGTAAAGTGTGCCGTTCGACGTCTCGAGACGTGGTGCTTCGAGCCATGATCGGCAACACACTCATTATGACGCTCAAAGTGCTGGCGTGGCTCAAGACGGGCTCGAATGCCATGCTCTCGGAAGCAATTCACTCGCTCGTGGACACGGACACTAGCAACCAGGCGATTCTGATCTTGGGCTTGAAGCAAGCATCGGGTGTGCCGCATAAAAAGCACCAATATGGATACACACGTGCTGCGTACTTTGGATTGTTCATCTCTGCGCTTGGCTTATGCTGGTTAGGTTCTGGGGTGACGGTTGTCCACGGGATCCAGTCGCTCTTGGATCCTCCGAAAGAGCTTTTTCTTTCGTGGGAAGTGTGGGGTGTGCTAGCAGCTTCTTTTGGCATTGACGGATGGGTGCTGAAGCGGTCAGTACAGGAACTGAGGGCTTCTCAGCCCCAAGACATGTCGTTTTACAAGCATGTGACGCGGACAAAGGATCCGTTTCTGATGGCTGTGCTGCTGGAAGACATGTCAGCATGTGTGGGTATCGTTATGGCTGGATGCGGCATTGGGGCCAGCCACATTACGGGCAACCCGCTGTGGGACAGTCCGCTAGTGTATCGATGGGCGTGCTTCTTGGCGGTGCTGCAATATCGCTCATTCGAATGAATCAGAAGTATTTATTGGGCCAGTCAGTGGAGCCGGAAATTGAAAAAGGTATCCGCGAGTTGCTGTTGGCGCGTCCGTCTATTGATAACGTGTATGCTGTCCAGTCACAATGGGTTGGACCATCGACATTTAGCTATAAGGTATGACGGCAGGATAGCGCGACTTGTACCGCCATTTATGTTAGGTCTTGACCCGTGCAGTATTTTTGGCATGTTATAGGCTGAAGTGGACTTTGATGGAACGTACTTGGCTGCGAAACTGCTGCGAATGTAAGCGTCATGATTCGTTTTGTCTTGCTCATTCTTCGGTACTAACGACGTGTGTTTGTTTTGTCTTGGCCTGGGTAGGTACAAGCCGGTGTTTTTAGAGACAAAAGATTTTGAAAAGGTTTGCCGCTCATGCTTGCTTGGTACGCGGAGGATGTGACTCGTCTTGTCGAGAAAGAGGTGCAAGAAGTAGAAGAGGTTATTCGCGGCATTTACCCCGAGGCCGCCTTCATCGAGTGGGAGCCTGATGGCAAAGAGTCGGAGATGCGTGCCGTGTTGAGTGTGCAGACAAAGTCTTTCCGTACGAGCGAGCGTGAAGCCATGACGCGAGCGCTGGCACTGCTTGCACGGACATTAGAGCGGAAGACAACAGGCGCTGATCGTCCAGGTACTACCGGCACGAGTGAATACATGTTCAGTGGTGGTACGTGTGACAGTGTGGATTTGCTTGTGTTCAATCGGCGTTGGAAACTACGGATAAAATGTACTTCAACAACCGATCAGATTCGAGAGCGCGTCCTGTGTCAATATCGAGAAACGTAGCAGCCATTGCTACACGAACAATGCATGAACCAATGCACAAGTCGTTGCTGCGTCAATACTTTTAGCATGCAATGAATTCACTTTTACACCTCGGGTGCCTTCATGTTACAATGAAGCCGATACTACCACATCCCCTGCTCGAGTCTGCTCACTAGTCCTTCCCCTTTGCTCAATGCTACTTTCATGCACCAGGCCACTGCAAACTTCAATGTGACTTGACGTTTCCATTCGTGACCACACTTGTTCACACCCCGCTGGGCGTGACGTTGCCGCAGCTGAAAAGCGAAAAGAAGGGGTGATGCGAAATCAAGCACAGTACACGAGGTCTCCATTCCAAATCTGCCTCACCAACAGATGCTGCATCGCAAAAAAAACACGTTGTTGGCAACAATCTTCGACAAAGTAATCGACGAGTCGCATCGTAGCACTTCGAAACGCGCTCTCTCTCTCTCTCTTGTTTTTGTTCTCTCTTTGATGGAATACTAAAACTAAAGCCCGTCGAAAACTCGCTGGCGCGCTGGATACTGGTGTGCGCCACATCACTTAACGTGTCGGGGCTTCCAAGGCTGGCAACAGCTCGCCACATGCTGCGCTCGCTGCAGTTGTCGCTGCGGCGTTCATAGAGCGTGCGCACGCTGCCTGTCGCTTGGATGCGTCATCGTCGCATGTTGCCTTGTCCAGTTCCGATCGCGGTGACGCAGTCGCTTTCGCTCCGATGGCTTGCAACGACAGTCCCTAATGGACAAGACTTTGATACTGAACAAGCTCCTGAGATGAAGAGGAAGGAGGAGAAGAAGATGGGTACAAAAGGCAGTGGTGATGATGGCGCAAGTGGACAAGAGGACGGGGACAATAAGGAGGAGGAGCCGTTTCGGACAATGGCTGTTGAACTCACGTACCCTATGCGGAAGCTCCGTACGGACGTGAATCAGGCCTATTTTCCAGGTAAAGTGTGCCGTTTGACGTCTCGAGAAGTGGATCTTCAATCCATGATCGGCAACACGCTCATTACGACGCTCAAAGTGCTGGCGTGGCTCAAGACGGGCTCGAATGCCATGCTCTCGGAAGCAATTCACTCGCTCGTGGACACTGGCAACCAGGCGATTCTGATCTTGGGCTTGAAGCAAGCATCGGGTGTGCCGCATAAAAAGCACCAATATGGATACACACGTGCTGCGTACTTTGGATTGCTCATCTCCGCGCTTGGCATATTCTGGTTAGGTTCTGGGGTGACGGTTGTCCACGGGATCCAGTCGCTCTTGGATCCTCCGAAAGAGCTTTTTCTTTCGTGGGAAGTGTGGGGTGTGCTAGCAGCTTCTTTTGGCATTGACGGATGGGTGCTGAAGCGGTCAGTACAGGAACTGAGGGCTTCTCAGCCCCAAGACATGTCGTTTTACAAGCATGTGACGCGGACGAAAGACCCGTTTATGATGGCTGTCCTGCTTGAGGATTTATCAGCTTGTGTAGGTGTTGTTATGGCTGGATGCGGCATTGGGGCCAGCCACATTACGGGCAACCCGCTGTGGGATAGCCTTGCAAGTGTTTCCATTGGTGTGCTGCTTGGTGGTGTTGCAGTATCACTCATTCGTTTGAACCAAAAGTATTTATTGGGCCAGTCAGTGGAGCCGGAAATTGAAAAAGGTATCCGCGAGTTGCTGTTGGCGCGTCCGTCTATTGATAACGTGTATGCTGTCCAGTCACAATGGGTTGGACCATCGACATTTAGCTATAAGGTATGACGGCAGGATAGCGCGACTTGTACCGCCATTTATGTTAGGTCTTGACCCGTGCAGTATTTTTGGCATGTTATAGGCTGAAGTGGACTTTGATGGAACGTACTTGGCTGCGAAACTGCTGCGAATGTAAGCGTCATGATTCGTTTTGTCCTGCTCATTCTTCGGTACTAACGACGTGTGTTTGTTTGTCTTGGCCTGGGTAGGTGCAAGCCGGTGTTTTTAGAGACAAAAGATTTTGAAAAAGGTTTGCCGCTCACGCTTGCTTGGTACGCGGAGGATGTGACTCGTCTTGTCGAGAAAGAGGTGCAAGAAGTAGAAGAGGTTATTTGCGGCATTTACCCCGAGGCCGCCTTCATCGAGTGAGAGCCTGATGGCAAAGAGTCGGAGATGCGTGCCGTGTTGAGTGTGCAGACAAAGTCTTTCCGTACGAGCGAGCGTGAAGCCATGACGCGAGCGCTGGCACTGCTTGCACGGACATTAGAGCGGAAGACAACAGGAGCTGATCGTTTAGCTACTACCGGCACGAGTGAATACATGTTCAGTGGTGGTACGTGTGACATGTGAATTTGCTTGTGTTCAATCGGCGTTGGAACCTACGGATAAAATATACTTCAACAACCGATCAGATTCGAGAGCGCGTCCTGTGCCAATATCGAGAAACGTAGTGGCTATTGCTGCACGAATTATGCATGAGCCAATGTGCAAGTCGTTGCTGCGTCAATACTTTTAGCATGCAATGAATTCACTTTTACACCTCGGGTGCCTTCATGTTACAATGAAGCCGATGCGACCACATCCCCTGATCGAGTCTGCTCACTAGCCCTTCTCCTTCGCTTAATAATACTTGCACGCACCAGGCTTACAGAGGCTTCAATATGACTTGTCGTTTCCATTCGTGACCACTTGTCCGCACCCCGCTGATCGTGACTTAGTTTTACATCTGAAGCATTGACTACCACGAACGTGCGGATGAACATGAATCTTACTGGTGTGGACGTGGCTCCAAGAAAACTGTCAGCTGTGTTGCTACAGCCGGCTCGACTTGAAGCTGTGGAAGTGAATTAGACGAGTTGAACTGAATAAGATAATATATGCGTTTACAGAAGGCTGTCGCATCAGTACAGAGTATTGTTGCTGTGACTGCGCATGTTTCTTGAGTATGCTTTTATTGTTAACATCAACAAAGTCGCGAACCATGTTTAACAGATAGATTTATTAAAAACGTTTATCGCTAGACTACGGGCTAAGACATTGTAAGTGTAAACTAGTCGACACTTGAGATTGTCGAACAAAACGAATCAGCTCGATCGTAGTGGCTCAACTGGCGTTGGCGCTTGTTCTTTAAATGGAGCAGTGTCCGGCTGTACCACGTCCTATCTTCACCATCTTCATCAGGATGGCGAGTAGCAACGAGCTGTGTGAACTCGTTGGTATTAATCTCGTTGCAAATAGGCTTCAACTTGAACCTGTTCGCCGGATGGGTATCTGTCATACCTGCTTGGGTAGCATGGCACTTGTCGTGCCTGCTTGCTTCCTTTAGCGGGCGTAGTGCGTGGCTATACCCAATGCTGCAGTGCTTCTTATCACTTGAGCGCAGCTTGGTGAGCTGGTTGAAGTCCCATTCAGTGGGACTAACGCTCTTCTCGTAGATGCCGCATGCTTTGGAAGCAATCTCCGACAGCACACTCAGTACATGACGGATACTCTCTTCAACGAGGTTGCATAAGCTCTGGATCTCGATAGTAATCCACTAGTAAACACATGCACACAGAAGAGAAACGTCAGCAACAAGTAAATTGATAGATCGAGAAATGAATCATGCACTCACCATGATTATTCAAACTGGTGAAGTTGTCAATGCGATTGTGTTGAAGACTCGAGTGTTGCTGATGTCGATGTTTTCAGAATGAAGTCGTCCTCGCTCATGCCTTTGCTCCGACCCGTGAGATGCACCGACCCAAGTCCGCGACGTGCGAGTAAGTACGCATTTCTCTCACCGATCAGGCATATTCTCCATGCTTGTTCAACCCATCAAGCGACTCTACTTCCTGCAGTCTCTTACCTGTTCTTCTATACTGGTGTCTGGTCATCTCATGTACCTCGTCCCAAGACCGACTACATGGCTCACGTCATCTTTACCTACCTGACCTATAAAATAGTAGTCAAAATAAGTATACTAAACACCTGCACAACTTCATCTCCAGTCAGCACTCTCTGCATTATGTCATCACTCTCTACATTCAGTCAGCACTCTATGCATTCAGTCACAATATCTGTATTCAGTCACTATCTTTGACGTCCTAGCACCTCGGATTCTATTTTTGATCGAAATGCGTACACATGTGGCATTTTCGACAGAAAACACGGTCTCAAGTCGCGCGCAGCAGCAGATGAGCCCTTGTGCTGATTATGGTAGTGAACGAAACGACACGAGTAATCAAAATGATGATTACGATGACGGTTACAAAGCGGACGTTGAGCAGAGGTGCTGCTCGCCCAATTGAATGGATCATCGAGCTCTTGTAGCAGTCAAATGATGGAAAGTCGGCGGCAGTAAAGGGGACGACAACTGGTGAGGTGCAAATGACAAAGGAGACGCCAAGGAAGACCACAAGACAGAAGGCGAACGAAAGTGCACGAATCTGTGCTGTGTATTCTTCGGTTTCGCGTGACTTGGTGCCGCACATTCATTATCGTAAACGTCATCCTGTCAACACTGCAGAAGGGTTTTCATCTCGAGACAAAGCCCTCGTGGTCCTGTGCTTGGAACTCGCGCTGCTTGCGTTAACTCACTCGCTCTTGCACTTCGACAAAGTCACGGCAGCTGAGCTAGACCTCGATCCAGATGCTGGGAAGTCCACTGTTGAGCTTGTTCAAGCGCGTGGCTACGTAGTGGAGACGCACAATGTCACGACAATAGATGGATACATCCTCTCCATGCATCGCTTACCAACGTCGTACAGAGAAAGCCAAGCAGATGCCAACAACAACGACAAGGCAGACCGAAACAAACCAGCTATTTTCGTCCAGCATGAAATGGTGGCCAGTAGTTTCGCATGGGTGTGCGACTCCCGGAACCACAGTCTCGCCTATGTGCTTGCTGATGCTGGCCACGATGTCTGGCTTGGGAATAATCGCGGCAATACGTACTCGTCCAGCCACGTTAAGTACACGACCAAAGACACTGCGTTCTGGGCCTTTCGTGGGAAGACATGGGCGGTTTGACGTGCCAGCAACGCTCAACTATGCTCTGGAGACGTCGGGACGGGAGACACTGGCTCTTGTAGGGTATTCGCAGGGGTCAACTCAGGCATTCGTTGCGTTTGCTGCAAAAACCAGACCCTCGCTCGATCCGTGTCCTATTGTGCGGCTCTGGGACCTGTTGGCTGGCTAGGCAATACAGATTCGAGGACGTTCAAGCTCCTTGCTCGTGCCTACTTCGACAAGGTCCTCGAGGCCTCCGGTCAAGTCCAGCTCTTTTCGCATAACGCGTTGCTACAAAAAAGCATTCAACCGGCTGCATGTCACATGGGTCCGGAATTGTGCGCCTCGGGATTTGCACTCGTAGTCAAAACTACGGAGAACTTGAACGCATCTCGTATAGGCGATTATGCTTCAGATGTGCCCTCAGGAACCTCCGTCAAGAGCATGCGCCACTACGCCCAAAGCATCCGCGAAAACACATGTTCGGCGTTCAACTATGGCTGCAGATGTCCTCGCACGCTTGGCATTCACCTGTGTCCGAAAACATGTGCACCAACAAAGTCAAGTACGGCAGCTTTGACCCACCAGATTTTCCCATTAGCAGCATGGAGTACCCTCGCACTGGATTATTTACTGGTGGAAACGACATCTTCGCCACTCGAGCTGACATCGATCAGTTACTATCTGCGTTGCTGTCCAGCACAATTGTCTATGAGAAAGAGATCAGCAGCTTTAGCCATTTGGACTTTGTTTGGGCTGTTCAAGCCAACGAAAAGCTCTACCAACCCCTGCTTAAGCAGCTTGAGCAGTACGTCGGCACCGGACATTAGCATAGATGGAACAAAAAACAATGAAATGCCGTGTGAAAGAAGAACGATACGGACCGTTATTTTGTGGGTACATTTGCCTTGAGCGCGGTCACAGCAAAGCGCACCAACAAATACGCTCAAGCAATCACATCAGTGTACCCCACTGATCTAGCCAGCTCCTGCACTTTCGGGACTTCGTTTTTGCGACTAAATTGCGTCAGCATCGATATCAAATCTTCATACATTTCCACCTCAAAGCGCGGAGTCTAGGGCGGCACGCCCTGGGCTAACATCACATACGTCCGCACAAACTCCGAAATCTCGCCGTCTGAGTGACAACGCATCATCAACGCGTACAACTGCTTCGATGAGAGATGACAGCCTTTGCACTCCTTGTCGTACGCAATATGCACCGTGCGCTCAATCAAACCAATCGTGGTGCCGAGATCAATTAGCGAGATGTACAGCCCGTCTGGAATCGCCCGTTTGTTTGCACTCAGCTCACGCAAGAGCGAGAAACACATGTCGATACCGCACGACCCGTACAGTGCGTTGAGGACGTAGTCAAAGAACATCCTGTCGGTAGCAACACCTTGACTCGCCACATCTCGTAAAACGTCTCCCACAGCCTTCAGTCACCGCGAGATGCATGAATGAACGCCACAGTCGTGAATGCCTTCACATCCTGAACGATACCATGCTCTTCCATCGCACCAATGAGCGCAACAGCATTGCCTACTTCACGACGGCGCATGTAGATGGACAGCAGCGATGTGAACACTTGAAGATTCGATGTTAGATTCCACTCAAGAAACACGTCCATGAGATGAAATGCCTCCTCGATCAAGGCGTTGCGGTGACTCTCCACCATCTCAAGCATCGTAATATGCCGGGCACTATCGACGAGTTGTTCAGCATTTGCGAGAACAGCTCCTTGGCTTGGTCCGGTCTATTCGTAGCAGCAAAACAGCCAAGCGCATCGTTATAGTTTTCTACCTCTAGTGTCCAGGCACCTGCAAGCTTCTATTCTGTTTAGAATACCGCGTCCAACACTTCTTCAAGGAACACTGGATCCAAATGCTTGTGACGATAACGAATCGCTGACCCGAATCCAGCACTACGAGCCACACCTCGAGCTACCATCCCGCGGAACGCGTCTTTAAACGTGGAGAAATCCTCGATCTCCGTACATGCTTTCAACACGTTGACGTATATATTTTCATCAGCTAGCAGCACTTCATCCACGATGCCAACCCTCTCTGCAGCTTCGTCGATCGCGTCGTCCACCGGTAAGTCGTCCCCAGCACAAACGAGCCTCTCTCGTGTGCTTTCCATCACTTCATAACAATGCAACGCCAGCGAATATTCATCAAACTTTACACAGCAGTGAATTGCAGCTCCAAAGCCTCGCTCGAGCACTCGTGTCCTCACTCTCTCCACCTTGCCTCCTGCTGCACGGCACGTTCCCTCCACATAGTCCGAACACACGTGCACCACATTCCTCGGACTCTGTTGTGTGTACACACTTGCTTTAAACAGTTCGAGGAACCCCTGTTGCTATAAATCTCGCACTGGGTCGAACGCAGCACTAGCAAAATACGCGCGTGCAAGCGCCAGCACTTGACCGTGCTTTTTCCTGTGCATCATCTTGGCCATCAAGTGGCCAACCACTGATGGCGGCATCAGCGCTTTACTCTGCTCGCTCCACCCCGTCGTCAATGTCTCGTCTGTAGTAGTAGTACCAGAGCAAATCTCCGACCACAACGTCTGCTGATACAGCAGCAGCTCGTGAGCATCTGCAAACATCTTGATATTGGCACAGCCATGACCACGTCTACGAGCACGCGGGCTACAAAGTGCGGTCCGTATCTCCGCTTCAACTGTCTCAAGAGCTCCTGCATCTCATCCGTTCGAAACCCGCGTAAAGAACGCTGTCGTCACACTGCAAAAAACAAATCGGTCCACATGGGTACACTTGCAATTTCGCGACTGAAACTCGCGATTAGACCCAAGAGCTCCGCTTCCCCGCGTTCGTCTTGAGCCTCCAGTCGTCGCTGCAGTGCCACGTTCCACGTCCGGACGTCAATCGTCGCCAATAGCGCCGTCTCGTCAATGATGCGCAACGCGCGACAAGTGGCTACAAAAGTCGTGGGCGGCGTTTGATTGGACAATAAAACGTTCAATTGGTTCGGACTGCGGAGCGTTTTTTCGGCAGCGTCTGATTGACTGGCGACCGCGCGCGCGGACGCAGCGCCGAAGCGCGTGGCGAGGACCGATCTTGTCGACGCGGCAGCACACGGTCCTGTGCATTGACAGCAACGGCGCAATAGAACCGCGTCGGGTGACTGCCACATACCTGCTCGCTGCCACACCCGACGCAGCATCTCGAGCTGTTTGTTTGCTTGAAACAAACGAGGAGTGAGTGTTTGGTGTCGTCCACACCAACGTCGAGTTTCGTCACAAGAAGGTCGAATAAATAACAAATCAAAAGCCTTAATTAACTAAATAAGAAAAAAAACAATTCTCAGAAATCAAAAAAAAATTAAATTACTAAATTTTTAAAATGAACTAGCAACAACCGTTGATTGGAGTTTATACCGAGACTCTTTTTAAATATCCATTAAACAATGTCTTTTCCGGCTGATGTAAATATGGCCTCATACGTAATACGAGAAGTTCATTCTTTTTGCATCGAATACTAATTAAGTGGGCAACTGACTCGTCAGCACATGCATGGCTGCGTCCCACGCAAGGCAATTCCGTCTCCACCTTCCTCTCTCTCTCTCTTGCTAAGGCTCAGCAAAACTAACGCGCTCTGTCCCTCCTCCCTCTCTTCCTCTCTCTGTCTCTGTCTCTCTCTCTCTTGTGTCCATTTGTCCAGCAAGTTTCGTTGCGTGGAGAGCACGCGACTCGCCCCTGCGTCCAGAGTCTTGACGCATTTGCCCGTGTCTATTCCAAGTGCCAGTTCTAAACGTCCCGCTCTTGCTGCGACATCCGCTCACTTTGCATTTGTTCAGTCAGAAGATACTCATGGCGGCTCAATCCAAGTGGAAGGTCTGAGTGGGATTGACGCAGCTAAAAGAGAGTCAGGAGTCTTCAGAGACACGGCCGCTGTCGTGCGCGCACACAAGACGGGAAGCGTGACGACAGATGTAGCTTTCTCGCGTTTTCGTGAAGACCTGTTGCTCTCTGCTGGCGGTGCTGTGGCGACGGTGAAGATCCGGCGAGTAGGGTCACCGGGTGAGAAGATGGATAGCTTGTGACGCCTGTGACGGTGTTTTCTCATGAAACAGCAGGCAGTGTAGTGGGTATTATGCCGCATCCGACGGCTGATTCGGTGTAGGCCACGTACTCGAGACGACGAGTGCTGAGACTGCATGACGTGCATGCTTCGACGACGAGCTTGGAGAGAGCAGTGGGACAAGGCGCTTCGTTGACGTCTGCGGACTGGACTCGGTATGGTCGAACTGTGACAGCGGCAACGCAGGGCCAAGCTGTGAGGATGGTGGACCCGCGTGAGCATCCGACGTCGACGGTCGAAGTGCCAAAGGCACATTCAGGTACACAACCAGTGGGTGTGGACAGGTGTGAACGGACGCAGCATTTTGTCACGTGTGGAAGCGATACGCTGATGCAGAAGCGAGAGCTCAAGTTGTGGGACCCTCGACGCATGGCCAAGTGCTTACATCGAGAAAGAGTGGATGCAGGAGTTGGTGGACAGTTGTTTTTGCTCTACGATCCTATAATGGACCTCTTGTTTGCGCTTGGCAAGAGAAGTTGCAGTGCCAGAATTTTTGAGGCAGACGTAATGCGCGCACCTTGTGTGCATGCACTAAACTGCAGCACATCGAGCGACTCGACACTTGCAGCGCTTGCAGCGACGCTTCTTTTCAAGTCAGTATGTGATATGAATGTGTGTGAAGTTGCACGCGTGTTAAATCTCAGTACGAGCGGAACGAGTGGTGGCGTGAGTTGCAAAGTCATCAGCTACCGAGTTCCTCGCAACGAGGCAACGTATACGTTCCAAAGCGACTTGTACCTCGACACGTTATCAAAAGAAGCTGCAACAACGTCCGAGGAGTGGCTAAGGGGACAAAATGCTTATCCGAGGCTGGAGACCGTGACACCAACGGTAAAGGGTGCCGATGATGTGGTTGAAAATGTGTTGAGACGCCTTCATCACGAAATTTTCCCCTTTTTTGGCTGCTTGTGCGACCCCCAGGGCTTGGATTGTGCGACCGACGCAACGGCGACACGTGGCGCGGGGTACACCTTTATTCCGTATCTTCCCCCTTCGTTGCCGCTTGCGCGACCCGTCGGTCCACTGCCCTCACAACTGATACCACGAGTGCAGCTTGCTCAAGGCAGATCCCAGGTCGCTTCGACTCTCCTATGGGGAGGTTTCCGTTTGAAGTGTCCGCCCCGAAAGGAAGGAAGACTGGCTTGAGCTGAACCGTAAAAATTTGGGAATGAAATTCGTGAGTCTTAATTGAAGTGGACGTCTCGCCCATCGACAAAGACCCCACATGGACATCCACGCAAATCTCGACATCGAACAACATATCTTCGTATCGAGCGCTCAGAAGAGGATGCAAGGTTGTTGCCTCACAAATCTTCCACACACACATGCTCTCCTGAATTGCAAGCGTTTCCTCCGTCGCCAGCACATCGTCTTCCAGCTGTGAAGCTGCTGCTAGAGTCACGGGATCCAGCTCTACAGCCAGTACTTTAAGAACTTTCACACGACTTTGAAGCACTGACTCCTCTAGTGACAGTGATGAATGCTCCATTCCAGACCGCTCACGGTAGTCACGTATTCAGCATGAGCACCCTGTTGCTCTTCGATTACATCCAGAAGTAGAGCTATTTGTTCCTCGCGATCGATCATCTCCTGCATAGCTCTCAGTTCATCTTGACGCTTCAATGTGTCAGAAGACACACTATCTTTCAGCGACTTCACGTCATTTGCCAACGCATTCGCGCTGACAGCCAAGCCATTGGTGAGCTGTATTTCACTTGTGCTTGCAGCTGTCACCAACCAGTTCGAGCCACCATCACTTCCATCGCATACAACTTCTGGATAGCTTTCCGACCTGAATCGTCTAGAACATCGGAACTAAAAACTGCTGGAGCCTTAATGTCAAGCAGTGATGACAGCTCTTCAGCCACGGCTCCGGACCACGATGATACGTCCCGAGTATGGCGGTCAACCGCCTACGAGCATGTGTCATACGCGCATGCAAGCTCCGCATTCTTGGACACCTGATCGTTGAATGATTCACCTTCCTCTCCAAAGAAAGCAACGCACACCTCCACCAGCGCATCTTCTTCGTTCAAAGCGACGAAGGAAAATAACTCTCTCATTGCTGCTACGTGCGCGGTCGTGTCGGCAGCTCCAGTGGTGGTTCTGTTGCTAAGGCGGGGAGCAGATCCGACGATTAAAAGCGGGACGAGTTTTCGATCATTGGTCACGTGCTGACGGCCCAGGATGGAGATGATCCCGAGATTGTGCAACTGCTGATGAAAAATGGAAGCGATCCGAATACTTTGATTCGGATCGCTTCCGTTTTCCGAA